TGAGAAAATCCTCAATCTCTCCCTTTATCTGCAGAAAAAAAGTACGAGATTCAATCACATGGTGCGAGTGATTTACATCAAGAGTCAAAGTAATATGCACAAAAGAAGTATGGTAAAAAGCTCAAAGTTAACTTGTTCATACAACAACAAATTAGCAATTAAATTGAATTTACCTCCAAGGGAAGGGTTGCAACAAGTGGGGCAACAATTTCAGATGTAAGAGACACTCCTGTTGGAACAAAAACAGTTTTAACCTGAAATATGAATAGACCACATTTTAACCAATGGAGTATAACAGCAAGTTTTCACCCTCAAAATATATGGAGTATTTAATCTGAAAGGTAAAAAATATACGTTGTAGTACCTTATCCCAGTTTTCTTCAATTTCAATTCCTCCACATTCTGAAAAACTTATGCTGTTCCCAAGTCTTTCAGAGACAATGTTAAGGTAGAACTCTTCATTGTGTGGGATGAAAGGCTCAACAATGAAAGTTGTTATGGGTCCTTTGCATCCACTCATCTCAACCTATATACATTAGAGAAAGACATGACTAAATGCATCAAGGGTGGAAAGGGAAATACTTGGAACAACGGAAAACTGCGAGAGAAAAACACCTCTTTATCAAGACGCTCCTTCACAAACGAAACAACTTGTGCAAAATCCAAATTTAAGGCAACCAAACCGCTCTTGCCACGCTTTCCAAATAACATGTCTGGTTTCACCACCAACTTAGAAGACGAAAGCCAAGGTTCCTTCTCTTGTAACTCACTGAAATCAGTTGATGCTGTAACCTTGAGGCACAAACCAAAGCAAATTCATTAATTATTACTCAAGTTTTAGATGCAACTACATGTGCAGGATATTGATTTCTATCTTGAGTTTCTCATTGAAGTGAAACTGAATCTATCTTGAGTGTTTAAACAAACTTAATTTAATAAAAGTTCAGAATTCAGATATAATTATACAAACTCATCTTGTGCATAACCATTAAAACCCACATCAATGTTCATGCTTGCGAACTCATGATGAGAGTACTTACTTGTGCTGACTTGATCGGCAACTCCTTGCCAGAGAGTCTCTTAAAGTGCTCCTTCACCAACCTCTTGGAGTCGTACTCTCTGATCTTCTTGCGCGCCATTTCTTCTTATTCTATTTCGTCAACCAAATAACCCAATTAGCAATAACGCACTGATATAACAGATCAGAACCACACAACCAAACATGCAATGAATTCGAACACAAAATCTCATTCCACCCAGAAGAACCAAAAATTGTATAAAAGTAAAAAGACCCCATCTCAAATTAGCTTAATGGGACCTCAAAATTCAGATCAAAATCGGAGCTTTAAGATTCGGCAGATAGCACAGAACAGACTGAAGCATGAAACAAAGGATCAAAGAGAAGAAAATGGAGATCTGGTAAGTACCGTCGGAAAAAGAATAAGGATGAAGGGTGAGGCAGGTGAGGAGTGGGTAGTTAGATCTAATGAACGGGTGAACGGATGATAAGTGTGAGTGATGTCTATATATATAGCTAAAATCTTCGATTTTTTAAATATTTTTTTTATTGTTTGGAGAAGGAAAAGGTGAAAAAGAAAATAATGAAGAAGTGGTTAGGTTGGTGAATTGCAGAGAGAAGGAGAAGGAAAAGGAAGAGGAATTAGGCAACAACACATACACATGGGGGAGTTACCTACCTACTTCTCTTTCCTTTGGATCAACGATAAAGTTTTGGCTTTCGTTCAACCAGTCAGATACACATATCCCGACATGTACGTATTTGGAACTTTGTCTGGTTTTGTTCTTTTTAAGAATGAAAGTTATTTACTCACTTCGATATCATTTAAATTTTTCTAAAAATAAAGCATTCCTTTTTCTTTTTTTTCCCTTTCTTTATTATAAAAAAAGGTGTCTCTAGTCAACCATTAAATTAATATCCTTTTTTAATGTGTAACTAGTAAGGTGCTTGTATGATCTATGGATTTTTTTAATTTATAATATTTATTTTAAATAATGTAATAAAATCATGAACGGTGTTTTTATATTATAATTTATATTAATTAAATCACTCATGAATTAGGTAAGAAAGAAGAACGAAATATACAAAAATAATATTAATAAATTATAAACTTTAAAAGTATATATCAAATGTATTAATTAATAAAATATTAGTGCACATAATAAATATATTAACCCAACAATATTTTTATATATGGTCAAAATACAATTGAAAACTAATAAATATTTGTTACTCATCAATTGAAGATCTTTAAATTTAAATTTAAAGTTTAGAAAAAAATCTTTGAATTGATATTATTATTTTTTTTTTCTGTGTTAAAGAATGATGAAGTTGCAAAGACACTATAATGTTTAAGTCCATGTTTGTGCTAGTAAAGTAATAGCTGGACTAGATCGCAAATATCTTTTAAGTAATACTCTACTAGTTATAGAAGACTCAAATGCAAGTAATGCATAGTCAAGACACAAAAGTAGGGTCTTGTAATATAACTATCAAAAATTTTAAATGCTTTGTAATCACAAGTGTATCTCTTAACTATGATTCCTGTAACAAGCATATACGAAGTGATGAGTGTACACTACATTTTATTTATTGAGTCATAGATCAAATTAACCACTTCGAACAATCACATTTCTCATTTGTTTTGTACACATTCCATATTTGCTTGGTTACAGTGTATATGTTTTTATTAATTCATACATTGAGGAAAAAATTAAGTGAAAAGTTACAGGATGCCCTTTTAAATATATTTTTTAAATATTTTAACTTTTTAAACAGTGTGTCTAAAGATAAATAATATAAAATTAATAAAATTTTATTTAAAAAATTCGTTTTCAATATTAGTCATGTATTATATTTTATATATTTTTAATAAAAATGTACTGTATATATTATTTTATAAATTAATTATTTATATTTTCAAACAAATTAAATAATTACACTGTTTCTAAACATGTGTATCAATTAGTAAAAATTTATTTTAAATTATTCCATGATTTTAAATTTGGATTCGAATGAATACATGTTAAATAGTCAGATAAGAAATTTGCCATTTATAGTGAATCGACTTAACTTAAATAATATTAATTTTAATAGAAAATATCTATTGTTTAGAAAATAATTATTATAAATATTTTAAATAATTTCTTAAAAAATATATTATTACTATTCCTATATTTTTACTTCTCAAAACGTGGTGAAAAAAAAAATATTTTAACTTCAAAGAAAAAATGCATCACAAACTGTACATTTAGTTTCATCTTAGTAGCACTTAATGTATGATTATAAGGAAATAATTAATCATTATTTTTCCGTTTACATTTTTAAAACCTCGCACTAATGAAACAACTAAACGCACTACAAGTGTTTCCTTCTCATTTACGTTGAAAAGTTATTTTATTAACATAATGTTATTAATCAATATATTAAAAGTGTTGATAAAAAGTAGTAAATAATTTTTTTTATTATTGTTAATAAGTATCATTAAAACACGTTGAGTTTTTATTTATTTATATATTTTTATCAAGACATTTAGTTCAGTTCTAGTTAATGTGCTAGTATATCAATGAATTTGAACAAACACAGCCCTAAAGAATGAAAAAAAAATAAAATGGAATATAAGAATAGATTTATAAAAAAAGGGAAGGTAGTAAGAATTGAAGCAGCTATCCTATTTTGAAGTCAATTCATTAGAGCCAGTTTTGAATTTGGAAAATGTCACCTACCCCCAACAGTCAAAGTTAATTCAAATCTTAACATAAAACCAAATTAGTGGTTCATCAACTATACCAAAATACCACCTTTATTTTTACCGTCCCTTGTCATTATAATCATTATTAAGAGATAAATTATTATAATTTAAAACAATCATATATATTTTTTATTTGACTACTTAAAAAAGTAACACACATTAAAAAAATTATAATTAATACTCACGTTAGTGTTAAAAGAATACAGCAAAGTTCAATAGATAAAAAATTGTATTAAAAGTATAAGTGAAAGTTTCACTTATTGAAGATAAATAGATAAAAGTGAAATTAAGCTTGTATTAAACTTTAATCTTGTTAAGTGATTGATTAATTTTTTGAAATTAAACTAATTTATAGAATATAATTAATTTATAAAATAAAAATAACAATAGTAAAAAATATGTTAAAAATGTATTGCTAACTTTTTTTGTTCCCAATTAGATTTAGAGGAGTTCAGATCAAGCATTTTTCTGCAGCTGAAGTTATAGCTATTGTGTAATTACCATTTTAATGATTCAATTTTTTGCAAGATATTGACTCAAGTAAACCTGTGGAGGATCCTAACTGGATTTAAGAGTGCTTTAAAAAAAAAAATTATAATTTGTGTATTTTGAATTTTTATAGTGTATTTAATTATAAAATATTTATATAATAATAATGTATTAAATAAACATTTAAGACAGTATTGTTTACCTTGACAAGAAGACATTAAAATATGGTAATTAATAAGTGTTTCATACGTTTGGCAAGTATTATAAATATAACTATAAGTTTGAAAAAAAAATCACAATAAAAATGTAATGTTCGCATGATTAACTACGTAAAATATCAAAACGTGTATGTTTAAAAAAATCATAATTATTTGTTTAAAATATATATTCTAGATCTAAAACAGTAAAAATTAAGAATGAAATATGTTATTCTGTGAGACAGAATATAAAGTAAAGAATAAGTTATTTTCAAGATAATATATAGAGTGAAGTATTTAAAAATTCCAAAACAAAATAAAATAAAATAAAACATTTAAAAGTTGTATTAAAGATATAAGGAATCGATAAAAATAATAAAATATAAAACATAAAAATTAACGATTTATTTATTTTTATTAGACAAACACTAAACAATTGTAAAGTAATTCTTATATTTGACGATATAAGAATTCGTTGATGGTTTATCATTTAACACACATATTTGAAACGGCATACCTTCGTCGTCGTTTGGCATCGCATTTCAAAAACCCACAATTCCTGGTTGACACGCCAGATCCGCAGATCGGAAAAATCGCAACCCCGTCGACGACCACCGTCCACAGCGTGAAACCTCGCCGTTGTATCTTGTAACCGCTTCGCCGCAGTTCTGGCTCCGGTGATAGAGTCTCTCTCGTATTCTCACTCTTCGAACTAAGCATAACACCGAAGCGAAACGCCGAAAACTCTGGATTTCACAATGGAAGAATTGGAGCAATGGAAGGAACAACTTTCTCACTGGTGGCTTCTGGCTATGGATTATTTTCGAGAGGTTCCGCCCAATCAGCTCTACGCTGCTGCTGCAATCGCGGTTTTCACAACTCTGCTTCTTCTCTCACGTGAGTTTGTGTAATTTTTGAATTATTTCACTTTGAATCGATTATTGATATTTATTGATGGTTCGTGTTTGTAGTTCGGTTGTTGAAGCGCGCAAAATCTAACACCGTTGTGTTGACCGGGCTTAGTGGAAGTGGAAAAACTGTTCTCTTCTATCAGGTAAGCTCCTAATGACAAATTTTGAGTTCATTGCTTCTGACGTTATCTTGAATTCAGTTTAATCTGCAAAATAGAAATAAAAATAATAAATTATTGTTTTTGGTTTAACCCTTGGTGAGGGTTAGGGCTTTGTGCCTTGATTGTTAGTTGTAATAATGATAATACTTATACAACAGAGGAAACATTTGTAATCAATTAAGATCAAATGTGTTTTGTATAGTTGTAAGGGAAAAGAAGACTCATGGTTATGTGGAAGCCTAAAACTGATGAGAATTCTTGTGAGTCAGTAGTGAGTGCTTTGTCTGTAGTCACGACCAATAAACTCAAGATAACATTTAATCAAATAATTCCAACATGGATTTTAATCAATTTTTGTGTTTTTCTATATTATGTTAATGCATCTTGAGTTTTTGATTGGTTGTGTTGTGCCATGGTTTTATTCATGCTAGAATTCCTCAAAGCTAAACATGTTATAACATTAGCAGGTGCTATTAAATGTTGGAATATTATCAGATTCCTTGTGAAGTATTAATATTAGGCATTAGCTTTCCTTCTATTCACATCTTCCATCCTAACTTAATTTTCTTGACACGCTTTTTATGGCTGCCTCAGCTTAGGGATGGCTCGACTCATCAGGGGACTGTTACATCAATTGAGCCTAATGAAGGCACTTTTATTCTTCATGGTGAAAAAACGAGGGTAACATTTTAGCCTCCTATACTCAAATACTTGCTTGAATGTATAGATTTAAGTGTTATATATATATAAAAATATGTGTATGTATGCATGCGGAAAAATTGTGCTTTTCATTTCCCTAGAAAGAGGATATTCACCTTTTATAGTTAGAAGAAACTTGTTTGGATTGTCATAGTAGCTGAAATCTATATTATTTTCTTATGCTCGTTTGTGGATTGTGGTCATGGAATCTGATAATAGAATAAACTTAATATTTTCTTATATTTCTCTGATTTTGACAGAAGGGCAAGATAAAACCTGTTCATATTGTTGATGTTCCTGGGCATTCTCGGCTCCGACCTAAACTGGATGAATACTTACCTCTAGCAGCTGGCATAGTTTTTGTGGTTGATGCCTTGGACTTTTTACTAAACTGTCGCGCAGCTTCAGAGTAATTCCTTCCTCTGTTCAGTTGCTAGATTACTATCTTTGTAGGAAGTAGCACTTTTTTTGTCAATATTAGCATCGAGCCACTAGTAAGCAATGGTGGGAAGTGTTAAAATACTCTCTAGAAATTATAGCATTATAATATTAGATAACCCAACCCCTAACACTTTTCCCGATTCCTGAAGAAGAAGTGATATCTAGCACTGATTACTAGGATACTGACATTTCCTTTTATTTTTTAAGGTACCTATACGATCTACTGACTAAAGGAAGTGTTGTGAGGAAGAAGATTCCAGTGCTTATTCTCTGCAACAAGACAGACAAGGTCACTGCTCATACGAAAGAGTTTATCCACAGACAGATGGAGAAGGAAATGTATGCCTTCAAGCCCCAAAATCTGTTATCCCTACTCCATACTCACTTGATCATTCGGCTACTACTTTATGATTCATTTATTGTCAGCAGTTGATGATTAATGTGTTCCGTGTTTGAGTGTATGTTGGATGGTACATATGCACATTCATAAGTTGATGCTGTTATTGTTATTGGTTCATATTGAACAAGTATATTGTATTTTATTCAGAGTTACTTGTCTTTGCACTCAATCAACTGATTGATTTGTCTTGATCTTGAAAATGAGCATGGTTATTCAATATATGCTGACGGCTGATCGTGATTTCATCTGTCAACTCTGTTGTTGACTTTTCTTGTCCTTTTCAGAGACAAATTACGGGCATCAAGAAGTGCAATATCAGCAGCTGATATTGCAAATGAGTTCACCCTGGGGGTACCTGGTGAGCCATTCTCTTTTACCCAGTGCCCTAACAAAGTAACAACTGCAGAAGCTTCTGGTTTAACTGGGGAGATAGCTCAGCTGGAAGAGTTTATCAGAGAATGTGTAAAGCCATAGTTGGATATTGAATTTAAACTCAGATTTTTGTTGAATTGAATTTGTTATGAATGATTGTTCTTAGATCACGGCTCTGCCTGGATGAGAAGAGGCAAAAAAGCGAAGGGGCTTTAGGGGGATGGGGGCAGGGGGAGAGGGGGTGTTTGGAGTAGGAATCACTGTTGGGATCAATAAGGATCTCTTTCATTGCAAGTCCTGGTGTATTGATTAGACTATATTGATTCATCTAATGTATCGGTACTAATATTTACTTTTATCCGTTCTATTGCGTTATCCATGTCCTCTACATTTTCTGACCTTCTCCAGTTGGCGCAAATTATGCTGACGCATCTTGGTTTATTTTATTAAACTAGAGCAGTAGTGATGTCACTCATTTGTTCAGAACGTAGAACATCTAAACAACAAATACTGGGAGTCAATTACACAAGTAGTCTAATCCTAGACAGATTTATTAAGATTATATATGATCATCTCTTAAATTAGAAATGTAGGTTATTTGATTTTAATTATTTAAAATATTTACTCCAGTTCTTAAATTTTTAAGAAATCATTTATTTAATTTTGTTACTTTATTTTTTAATTGTCATTTTGTATTAGGTATGATTAAATTTTGTTTCGTATAATCAGAAGTTAAAAAATTTGTAAAGTCAAAAGTAAAGTGATGATGCTTATAATTCGAAAGATTAAAATGTATATTTGCTATACATAAATAAATTACACTTGCCCATTAATGTTATAATTTGACACCTTTTTCTCTTAGGAAATTATACATACATCTACTTTTATATGTAGATCCCATTTTTTGAGGAATTAAAGCTAAAAATTTTCAATTAAGATTGGGTTAGTGCGTTCCGGATGACTGGGTTAAACTGAAGAATAGATTATCATATTTTTCAAGTTTTTATCCTCAAAATTTTGAATTTGTATTATTACAAACTTAATATATCCTTACTGATTACTAAATAAAACAGCTTTTTATTTTTCAAATAAATTTGATCTTAGGCTGATTTAATCGAGGCAGGATACGTGAAAGACTTAATTTGAATGGAAGATAACAGCATAACCTTACAGAATAGACCAGAGCACTTTAATGAATTCAATCTTTAGTAGTAAATTACGCCCCCCCCCCAAAAAAAAATAAAATTGAGTCCTCTAAACCCTTCGTCGGGAAGGGGGATTCAAATCTGATCTTCGAAGTTAAAAAATGCTTTAGCCATGAAAAAAAAAGTAGTCCTACCCCGATGATATGTGTTTTGGAATGTGTCATCATCTTACAAACTGACAGGAACCAGGAAACGATTTAGATAGCCACAACTGCTTCAACTTCACTATCAAAGCAAAGACACCATAGCATGGAATGTGCACTACACCCACGGCTAGGTACCTAAAAGTCCAACAAGAGGGCAAGAGATTTAGGTCATTACCTGAATTCACACACTAGTTTTAACTATATTAATTTCATAACTAATTGCTGCATTCAGAAACAGAAGATAAGCATGCAATGTTATTATATTACATGATAAATTGCTATTTTAAGTTTGTCATATTGGAAGACCTTTGACCAAAATTTGATAACAAAAAATCCTAGTTTTGTTGTCAGCATCCCCTTTTAAACAACATGCTCACACATGAAGGGATAAGCTTATGCCAATCAGTAGTGAAGTTGATTTTTTTTTCAGAGTATTTGAGTGGGAGTGACGAATTGAATTTAATAACATACCATAAGGGTGCATATGGGGATGACAAATCAAGGAAAGGATAAGGCCACCTGTTACAAAGGTCAGCAAATTATGAACAGAATCGTGTTAAGTGAAAGCAAAAATCAGAAAATGGGATACTCCTTTTTTTACCGCATTGAAATACAAGCATGGATGATCCACTGAAAAATGACAAATATAGCTGTCCACAAGACAAAATATGCAAATCGAAACATGGGAAATCTCTGCACGTGTTAAGAAGAATAGTTGTAAATTTGAACTAGGTAATTAAGGATAAATAACATAGGAAACAATAAAATAAAATAAAATAAAAATACCATGCAATTCAATGATGTTTCACCAAGGAGGAGCAAAGCGTTAAGGGAGTGCAAACAAACATCCATCTGAAAATTGAAAAGTTAAGGGTTCATTAGAAAATATCTTGTGAGTAGCACAAGAACAGCCTATTCTTTTAGAGAACAAATAATTAACAAAATTTACATTAACAAACCCCCTATTCACCTTTCTTCGACTACATTTGCTTTATCATAATTAAGGTATTTCAAACAATCTCTACTTCATCATAATTAAGGTAGTCAATGTTTAGCACACGCTGGAAAGCACAAATGCTTTGATGTTGATTAGATGTTCCAGATGAATATCATAAAAATAAAAGTATTACTGGAAGCAACTCTTTAATTATAAGAAAAAAAAAGAGTAAAACTGTTCCCTCACATTTAAGGAAAATATGATACAACTGCCCTCAAGGATATGATGAGTTGCAACTGGAGAACTGGCTCATTAGTAACACTGATATTTTATTTGAATTTTGAAGTGTTTTAAATTTTTGATGAAAATGAAACTAAAAGAGAGGCCAGACATTTTCCAAAACTTTTATCAGTATATTAAGTATAAATTTCCCAACCAAAAAGATAAGTGATAGGACAGGGACACTCACAAAATTTAGCCTGAAATCTTCGGATGTCATAAATGGATAAATGAGGAGCCAGAATACAAGGTCAGTGAGCACTACGGCACCTGCAGAAATCTATATATTTGAAAGAAAATGAAACCAGATCAATAGATTGCGTACTGAGTTTAACCAGTTAATAACACAATGGAAGTCAAAATGTACTAGTGTTTAACTGAGAAGCAGAAAAAAATAAGATGAACAAAAAGACATTATAAAAAACAAAACTATAAAGAGATACTGCATCACAGCCTTATATGAACTTGTTATCGTTGCGGAACTTTGATAGAACTCTCAATTTGAACAATTTTCTCCTTACTCAGAGTCAACTGGGACTCAAATTAGAAATTAAATGATTAATTAGCTATTTGGTAAGGATTGCAAATTACTACTTCAATATGAGCGTATAGCAGAATTCCTTTTTAGTCATGATGGATTACATATAACACAGCAGGAACTTTGATAGAACTCTCAAATGTATTATAAGAAATAGAAAAATTAAAATCCGAATTATAGAACAAATATTCTAATAAAGATAAATTTTAACCAGCCCAGAGTTTATAACTCCTTCAGAGTAATGCTCTATGCATTCTCTACCAAGCTAAAACAGCTTTACAACAAATTATCACAATGCTGCCTCCCCTATATCCCCACTCTTTCCTTATATATCCCTTCACATGGTACACTCACACCCCCAATGATAACCAACTTACACATTTTATCTACTTGAGTCTAGGTCCTTTTTCTTGGTTTCTATCAAACTTTCTTACCTACTATATTTTTCTCTTTTAAACAAGAAATTATTATAAAGAAAAGAGGGAAAGCACTGCTAAGAGGACAAGAAAAGCAATAAATTAAGCAAAGCTAATTAATCTCTAAATGAACTACTAGTAGAACATCACAAAGAGGGTGTACAAACAATACGATCCCATAATAAGTTTGAGTCGGTAACACCATAAAAAAGGTTAGGTAGAGACAATACCAATAAAGGATGGTAACAACCTAACATGCCAATAAAACAAGTTTCTCAAATGATTTTCTGATCACGATCAAATGTTTGTCAATGTCATGATTAAGTGCGGACAAATTCTCTTTGTCACCAACTTAAAAAAGCCAGTTAAAAATTGTAATTTGGCAACCCGTGCTTTCAAAAAGTATGAAGCCCTCCAATTCAAATAGACAAACTTTTTCAAGCTAAATATTTTACAATCATGAACTTTGCTAAAAACTTTTCAATTTGCATCTCTTTTTCACTCATAAAACCAATTTTAATTGAAAAATCTCAGTTGTATGTCAACTAAACAAGACTTAAGGCTAAAGATCAGTTTGTAAACTGTTGTTAAAATTAGTCACTAGATTAGTTAAAATAAATATTATGCACAAAAAGATATACTCCAATAAAATCATGAAGAAAAAATTACCTGAAAAATCATTTGAAAAATATAACCCCATACCCCTGCAGTTCTTGGAGTAGGAGGTTCCTGATAAGCATTGGAATTCTTATACAGGTCAGGAACATCTACAATCCCATCAAGTGAAGGAGCCACATAAATGCCTTGTTCTGTCTCTAAATAATCATGATTGACTAAACTGCCGTCAATTTTATTGTGTTTAAAGCAACATCCATATATGGAGAAACAAGACCCGAACTGAAAGTGAAATTGAGAGCACAAGTCACTAGGAGAAGATATAAAATAAAAACATGGAAAATGGAAAGTTGATTGACAGGTTCAATTGTTTTCTCTACAGAGTATATGAACATGTAAGTTACAGAATGTGGTCTCTGACAAAACCACATTCCACCCTGACCGCAAAATCATCAAACAAATACAATTTTATTACTATTTATGATCAAAATATGAGTTAGAGATGTGAAGTGTTACCCCAAAGTAAATAGTGACCAAAGTAAATGTCCACCTGTTCATCAGCCCCCAAAAAAAAAAAAAACAGAAGAATCAGCATATTTATAACCAAGATGGAAAATTAAGACAGTGATGCTTTATCACAACAGTCAGTCATTCGATCACTTTGTTCCAATATATACTCTTTGATTGCATGAGTATTGAATACCCCAATACATTCAATATACCAAACTACGTTCTTCCACTTTAACAAGGGCTCTTCACTGATGACATATGAGACCAGATGGACTCAAATTTTCTGTCCCCAATGCTAACCCCCAAATTAAATACTGCTAATTATGCAAAAATAAAAAGTTTACTACCAAGTACCAACTAAGAGAGAAGGGATACATTTAAAAGAGTCTGAAAAGTCTGGCAACAAGGACAATGCAAAAATGTGTCATTTTTAGCTTTTTTGCATTTTAATGGGGAAAGTACAGAGACATGATTGAGAATAAAGAGAGGGAGCAGAAGATTTGAATCCAGCCCAGTTTCCGATGGTAGTACAAAGTACAACTACAAACTACAAAGAAAATGTTCTTCAAAAGTCCTCAGACTGGATCTGAAAATAACTAATAAATAAATAATATATAGCAAAGTCTCTAGCTTGTTACTGAAGTAGAAATGAAATACGAACAAGTGCAATGTTGCTTACTGTGTGTAGAAGTAAAATATGCCAATTCCATCAGTAACCACATTAGTAATGATCAAAGCCAAAAGCACAACAAAAGAAAATATTCTGTAAGCAAGCAGCCATGCAGGATGAATTCCTTTAAGACATGCCTTCCATGCATCATCCTCGTATAGCGACCCAGGTGTTTCTCTCCGCCTCTCTCTCCTCTCATTTCTTGATTCATTGAATTCTTCGTACTTCCATATCAAAAAAGATGCTAAACCCACACTGAATATAATAAACAATGCACAGAGGAAGAACCTCCCATTCAACCAATAACCTAGGGCGGTAGTATCTTGTGTCATGGTGGGTTGCCAACTATGGCTCAAGGATCCTGTCAATGTTAAGAAACTCGTGAGTTACTCACACTTGCTTTGATAAATATGTCTTTTTGATATCTTACTCAGCTCTATGCACTCAGTTAAACTCACAAACACAAGATGCATAAATTTAACAGCAATGATTCAGATTTAGAAAATGTTAACAGATTCCTGTTGTGCATAAAATTAGGGAGAGAAAGAAAGAAATATTAAGATATTAACAGCAAAGAGACAATCGTCCCTTCCACCGGGGGGAAAAAAAAATCATAAGAATTAATTTTGATAGCTGAGTACATTTGAAATTGAATGACAGAAGAGGAATGAGTGAAGAGGCAACTAGGAGTCCAAATAATTTATCAGAAAATAATCAGAATTTAGTCAAAAGCATCCCAACTTCTCAACTGATTCAGTTCTTCACAACAGTGGCAGAAGAATCTTGAAGAAACAACATAAAAATCACCAAAATCCAACACGAACAAAACTCATGCATCCAGAAAATTCAAACAAAAAGGCACAGAATTAGAAGAAAGAAAGACTAATGCAATCAAACATCCATAGCAAAACAGAACATTGCTATAATTATTTGCCTTTTTCTTATAAGCATTTTGCTATGATTATTCCCCTTCAGAATACTTAAAATCAAGTGCACGAAACAATGAACAAACAAAAAACCCCTCCAGCACAGAACAAGTAGCTAAAACACCAATCTTCGAAGCCAATTGAACCCAGATTCCTTACTTAACATGGGTTTTACCAAAATTTCAAAAAGTTAAATACTTGATGAAAACGAAAGAAAAAAAAAAAAACAGAAAAACAAAGAAGATTGATTCCTAATTTTTTTTTTCAAAAAGGAAGAGTAGAAGCACTCACAGTTGAGAAGTAAAATTAAGAGGGCTGAAGCGTCAATGCTGAAAGAATTGACTTTGCTTCTTCCTTTAATATGGGTACGTAGGGGAGAGAGAGAGAGAGAGGGGTTGAACTGAAGATGTGTGAGGTGTGAATAAATGAACCAATGAACTTGGTATTATTAATGAATTATGAAAAAGGGAAATAGGTATGATGTATGAATATGATTATTCGATTGATTGATCTGTGGCTGACCCAATTTACAGAGCTCGGAATCAGCCAATATTCACCAGAGAAGACGCTATGTTCCGTTGCCAATGCTATAAGCAATAGTTATCAGTTTTTTATATATAATTATAAGAAGTACTTTTTTAATATATTAAATATTTTTATTTATTATAAAATTTCCACACACTTACACATTATTAATATAAATATTTATTTATATATTACTAATTTCACTATTTAATATTTAAACGTTATAAAAATATAATACATCTTCGTGATTTATTTTAAAATATTTTTAGGGATAGTAATTAAAATATAATATAGGAATATGAAAGATTGACGTAATACGGCATCTTATCGAAAAGGGTTTTCGCATGATAGATGGTGAGATTTCTACAGGACCAGAACGAGCCAGCGAATTACGTGGTGGGGACTTCATTAATTAGACAGCTATGAGAGTACACGTTTTCTTCTTACTTCAAAGATCAATGAGTATTTATATTTTAATTAAGAGAGTTTTCGTTATTACTCTTAATGACCCATTAATTATTTAAAACTAAGTATTTAGTGGCTATTGTTTTGCTAAACACAAAAGCTTCTCCAAATTTTCAGTCAATTTGAATGAGGCACGTGTGAATCTATCAAAACAAAGCTTCCCTTCTGTTTTGATTTAAGCTTTTCCGCAATTAAATTAATGGTGATGAATCCATCGTTATCATCATTCCCACCACGTAACCCTCCACTAGAATATTCTTATTTTGAATCTTCTTTAAAGGATAAGATTGAAATTGAACCTTAAGCACCTTCTTCCCCCTGAAATACCTCAAACTCATCAACCTTTTCCAAGATCAACGGAACCAATATTAAGCGTTGGTTTAGTTTATATTAGTTAACAAATAATTTATCTTTAATAGTTAATAATCAATCACACTAAGTTTTAAACCAATGATAAAATTATACCAAACGATAAAGTATATAAATATGACAAGTTACAAATTACATGCTTGACAAATTATGAATTCGATGTCTTAAAAAGTGCGATGTGAAATACCGTAGCGTTGGATTTGAACCCTTTCCAATTTAGGTGAAATTATATTTTTATTTAAACAAAAAAAGCTAAATTTTTACAAAATTGACAGATTGACAGTAGTTAATCGTTATAATTGTAGAATCGTATGAGTAGTAATTCCTAAGTGCCGTGTAATTTAACGACAAAAAAAAGGGGAATTCATCTACGGATGGGTAGATATTAATGCTCTACCTAAATAGGTTGCATTCTCGTAAAAATGTCAACATAGTGAAGTTATTGTCAAGAGATATTTCAGAACTATGCATTTGCTGTCGTACCAAACCCAACTGAACTTGTATTCATCGGAAAAAAAAAAAGTTAACGTTTAAATCAACAGTAAAAGTTGTTCCTAAACGTGTAATTGAATAAACTAAAGTCATTATTTTAACATTAAATTATTTTCATTTTGGTTAAATAATATTAAACTAGTTTAGATTGAATTTTTACAAACACGTCGTTTTTTAAATAGAATAGTTCAAAATCAAACTTGATAATATTTTTAAGAAATATTATTAACTAAGCTTTATAAATATAAAACAAACTAATACTGACTATATATATATAAACTTATGCTACAAACACAGTAGGAACATAACGGCCATTTGTTTCAACTTTTGAAAAAAATTTAAATATATAAAAAGTGATTTTTCAAAAATATTTTTATAAAAATTAAATTCTGACTTTTTTGGGTTTAAAATGATATAAAAAAAACACTTTTTAAAAAAATTTTCGTGAGCAGTTGTACTTTTATTTTTTAAAAAAACCTATTTAAAAAATTTTTTCTAAAAAAATTAAATGAAATAATTTTAAGCTTACGGTTTTTTCATAATCTTAACTAGAAAATTTTAAAAAATTGAAAAATAAAATTTTCGGTTATTAAAAATGATTATTCAAAAGAAGCACTTTTTTTTTTTATAAAAAAAGCCTTAAACACAAACTGACTCTTTTTATTTTTGTTCAGAAATCAGGCCTTTATTTTGGGTCCATAAACGGGTTCTAAACTTCTGTTACATTCAGAGGAAAAGGGAAGGGTGCGGCTAGATAAATTTCAGAGATATGGGCCGGAGGAGGTCTTGTCCAATTAAATTTAGGCCCAAAAGGTATCAGCAAACCCTAATCTCTTAACTATATAAGGTTCTGAAACCTAAAATTTCTTCACTCCACACCCTTCCTCCTTCAAACCCCGGGAGCCCTAGCCACCACAATGCAGATCTTCGTGAAAACCCTAACGGGGAAGACGATAACCCTTGAGGTGGAGTCTTCGGACACCATCGACAACGTCAAGGCCAAGATCCAAGACAAGGAGGGAATTCCACCGGACCAACAGCGCCTCATCTTCGCCGGAAAACAACTCGAGGATGGTCGTACCCTCGCCGACTACAACATCCAGAAGGAGTCTACGCTCCACCTCGTCCTTCGCCTTCGCGGTGGCGCCAAGAAGAGGAAGAAGAAGACCTACACCAAGCCAAAGAAGATCAAGCACAAGCACAAGAAGGTTAAGCTCGCTATCCTTCAGTTCTACAAGGTCGATGACTCTGGTAAGGTTCAGAGGCTCAGGAAGGAGTGCCCTAATGCTGAGTGCGGCGCTGGAACCTTCATGGCCAACCACTTTGATCGCCACTACTGCGGCAAGTGTGGTCTTACCTATGTTTACCAGAAAGCCGGTGCTTAATTTTGCTACCCAGCGGTGAAATTTTATGTTTTAGTTTCTAAAGTTTTGGTTTTTGTTAGTGGGGTAGACGATTTGTCGTGTCGCTACTATGTTTAAGTTTTATTATAGTTTCGTTTCTGAACTTACATGAATATTGTTTTGTGTTTTGGTTTATTTATGATTCGGTTTAATATATTACTGTCTCTGTTTAAATCTGCAGATTGGTTGATTTTCTGTTTTGTAATTGTGTGGTTTGATGTGCTGCTTTTTGTGTGCTTGCTTATGTGTGTTGCTCGCTATACAAATACATGCCCTTGATAATTTAAAGCGATTAAATTAGTTTATGGGCGATTTTTTGTGGTGTTGTGTGTTCAATTATGTTATGGCGATGTAGGGTGAGAATGGATATGGATTATGAAGTTGAATCTGTGGTTGTTTGTTTTTTGCTGGAGAGGAGCTTATCAGAGTCTAAATTGGTTATTAATTTTCGCGTTTTAATTTGGGAATGTCGTTTTGGCTAAGTTCTACTTTGTTGCGAGTGCATAAGATGTGGATGAGAATACTGTTTTGTAATTCATTTGTTTATGATTTTCAATTTTGATGCGCCGTGGAGATCTTCGTTAAGTTCTCATGATGCATTTGCTCACTGTTGCGTTGTTTTTGTTGTTTGCCGATCCGTTAGTGATTCAATTTGAGCCGGAAATGCAAACGCTAAATGTTCTCATGATCTCGACGGCGTGTGCGAACGATGCTACCAATTTATTAATAAATTCACATTTTTTTCCCCATAAAACTGATTCGTCATTTTTGAAAAAACTTGTATTATCCAATAAACAAGCAAGTTTATTCTGTGTATTTTCGCAACCTCAGCTTCAGCGATCTGAGGAGCTAAACCTTGTGCTTTTGCATGTTCAGAAAAGATGCCGTGTGTCCTATCAAGAGCAGAATTGTTATACTAGGAAAAATATTGGTGTGCCTGACATGCGAGAAGTGTAGTTTTGATTAACATACAAGTTATTGATACAAGTATTAAAAGTGCTTTTTGCTGAGGCTATGCCTAATCTATTTTATATGATCATAGTTTTCAAAATTGTTTTATCAAATATTTTTCTTTTCAAGTGATTCATGCTTGTTCTCAATGGAATATTGAAGCTACGGTAGTGTCTCGAACATCCAAAAGAAGATGTCTTGCTCTTAAGCTGTGTGTTTGTTGTGTGTATATTATATATGATTTTATTAGACCTTAATTTTTGTGGTTTAAATAACGCTTGATGGTATCCCTTTCTATCATAGTATATAATGAGTTGTTTATTCATTTCACTTGATTAGCCATTCGAGAATCAGAAACTAGTGCTGAACCATCCTCCCATTGTGTGATTCCGTCTATTTAAGATGTTATAAAGGGCAAACTTGCCGAAAAGTTAAATTGGGGGAAACATGTAATTAGTTCTTTCTATTGAATTCGTATGATTAAAAGTAATTGAAATATATTTTAATTAATTTATAAAAATAATTTAAGTTTTGTTAACCAGTTAAGTTTAAATATTCACAAATAGAAAATTTTTATAAAAAAAATATATAATTATTGTATTATAAGTTACTTGAAATTTTTTTATCATTAGTTACTTATTTTCAGCTTTAAGAGTCTAGGGTAATAAAAATTCAAATAAAATAACTTTTATTTAATTTTAAAACAAGCAAATAAGTTGGTAAGAGTTATTCGGTTTAATATGTAATATCAAGTTTCAACTATATTAAATACTAGAAAATTTTTTATTGCTAAGGCTCTCAAATAAATAAGCTCTTTTTTAAAATATTTTTTTAATATCTCAAAATTTAAAGAACATTCATAATTTAAAAATTTAAAGGATATTTATAATTTTTTATTATATATTTAATCTTCAGGTACCATAGAAATTATCAACAATTTTAAGATAAATTTAAATGTGATAAAATTAAATAAAATAATATTATTTCATGTTTAATTTTAAAAATATTATGAAGTATAATTAAATTTAAAAAAAGGGCCTAATGAGAGGATATTTTTTTGTGTGTCTCTCACAGTATGCTCTAAATTGTATCAATAACTAGTTGGTGTAAGTAGCGTGTTAAATTATCTTTAGGTAAGCTTATCAACATTGCCATGCAGTGTATATTCTCGACTATATTACTATTTGCAAAGAATATTTGAAGTTTAAATAAATAATAATAATAATACCATCAAATATTAAAACAATATGTATTAGTTTACTCAAATCTATCAATGTCAATGCAAAATAAACCGACTCATATACAACTTTGAGCTCCATCGAGTTAGCTAAGTGGGTTTGAAAAGTTATCTTGTAACTGAACTTTTCATATCAAATTACTAAGAAAGTTTACTAGTTTTTTATTGGTCATTTGTATTCTATACGAATAATTTTGGGAAGAAGGCATGGTGAAATTTTGATATGTATTTATAATGGAGCCTATCCATTAATGAAATTTTTTGCATAGATGTTAAGATAAATTAATTTAATGATACAACGATTTCTTTTTAAAACTTTGAACAACTATAAATTTACTTGTATGCTTTTTATGTTAAAATAACTAAGAGAGTGTTTGTTTCCCTTCTCAAAAATAGTTTTCTGTTTTTAAAAATAAAATTCAATACAAATTTCTATTTTATTTTTTTAAATAAAAAACTATTTTTAAAATAGAAATCAAATATACTCTAAATGACTGAGTTTTAAAAGCTATCTTAAAGAATTCATCCGAATATATCTTTATTTACCTATTTAAGAGTATGATTTTTTTTCTTTATTAAAACAATAATATCTAGAATGTGCTGTTTTTATTTAAAATAAAAATAAATCATCATATTAAGTACTGACTAATGAAAGAAATAGATAGTCTCAAAACTTGCTTGGGTTTTAGTGGGTTCGAAGTGTTTGGTTCTATGGAGAAGGATCCTGCTCCAAAAATAACTGCACCAGCACCATGCACTTAAAAAGAATAAAAGAATGTGATGATATAATTTCCTTTATAATAATCAACTCCTTGTAATTCATTTGATTTAGTTTTTCATATCATAGAAAAATACTAGCAATACATTTTTTTAACACATTCTTAATTATTTATTAAAAATTACAAAAGTACAAAAAATAAATTAATTTAAGAATTAAAAAGAGTGGGACACATAATTTTAATAATTTTAAAATTTTAAACGATAATTAATATTGCATTAAAAAATGTGTTAATATGTATGTTACTAATTTTCTTCAATGTTATAACTTCAACAAAAATTCTATTCAACTTGATAGCCATACTTGATCACAAGGAAAAGTGAATTATGATCCTAGACAATGTCAAGGTTGAATACTAAAGTCTGTATTTTGAGGATGATTTACTTAAACTATACTCCCAATTCAAAATTGTGCGAATAGTAATGAACAAATAAATAAAAACTCAGAATACATAAAAATGCTGTTCTAAAGTCTAGCAGGACGAATTTGTGCTTGTAATTTATTCATTCATTTAGATAAATCGCCCTTTATTCAAGTAGTAGAAGAAATAAAGCATCCATTAAAAAAGTGTATAAGAAATGAAACACATAACAGGATTTGGATTTCTAAAGAATTTATGGGGGATTCACATTTTCTAATTTGCAGGTTCCACCTTATTTTGTTTTCCTCTATAACTTTGTATCTCTAGTGAAGGCTTCCTAGATTTGACATCCCACACAATTTCTACCTTAATGCACCCAATGTTCAATAATTGAAATGTCTTCTTGTCTGTCAATTATTATATTTTAGGGTTTTTTATTTATTTAAGGAGAGGAGAGGTTTTTCCAATTTAAAGCCAGCCATACTATTTGTGGCCATAATGTTATTTATAGCTCATTTGCTATGAGAGTTTATATGCAACAAGAATTGAAACAAAAAACTTACAGGGTAATTTAGTGTTTTTCTTTTGTTAAAACCCCTTTTGAGAAGCAACTTTAGTAATTTTTTCTAGTTTGAATGGAAATTATTACTTTATTCAATGTTTAAAGAAAAAGATCAGAAAACCAAAAGAGGCATGTCTTAGTTGGATCCAAAAAGGTGCCTTTACGATCAAAGTAAACTCTCCCCCATTCATTAGATATGTCTCATATCACGCACACATTAAATATTTTCACTTAATTAGTTCCTAAAAACTTTAATAATTTAGCTAATTAGTTTTAACTATTCTTTTACCATTTTAATTTTCGGTAAAGATAAATATATAGTGATATTTTAAAATGTTTAATAGTTAATTTAATGATAAATTAAATCTTTGAAAAATTATTTTGTGGACAACTTTTTGAGAGCTAATATAATGATGCTTTAAATTTTTAAAGAAGTGATTTGATGACTAGAATTTTTCTAAAGATTAACATAATGACATTTGTAATTTTATATTACGAATCTTAGATTTTTATAATGTTTTATTAGTAATGTTAGTCTCATTTAAAATTTTCATAACACTTACTATAAGAAGGAAAGATATAATTTGGTTTAGAAAAAACTTTATTCTTGTGAATTCTGTTCCACCACCATTGAACTATGAATCAAAGTAAGGTGTAGCCAGCAACAGAGTAGGTGGAAACTTTTGATCCGAATTCAATTGACAACAGTGACACCTCATTGTATCACTACGAGGCTTAATGATCTGATATTTGACTCACCCATTTTAGCTCAAATTTCAAAACTTGAAACACTCAGTCCCTGTCTTGATGTTGAACTACTACATCCCACAATTATGAGATATCCTATTCGGGTTCTGATATGTGTGCTTAAAGCTCTATTTACTCTGTTGTTTTATAGCAATTTATGCCATGAAAATGGTGCTCAGCTGCTTTACGCTTGAATAGTTTTCTCAGGTTCATGTGGAAAGCAAAAGTTTCCGTGAGTCAAACACTCCAAGGCATTCCATATGTGCAAGGGCAGCTTTAAGTTGTGTTGTTTATTTGGCAACTTATTCAAAAATAAAATTATATATATATATATATATATATATATATATAAATATAAATATAAAGTAAAAAAGAGATTGAATAGGGTCAGGTAATTGCTTGCTTATGCTATTACTTCTAAGATTTGAGAATATTTTTATGGCTATTTTATGAAAATCTAAGATTTTTACTTTTGCATGGGAATATATTTTTTTGGCAAAAATAATTAAAAAACATTAAAAGAAAAACCCTTTTAAACACCCCTAAAAGGCACTATTGGTAGCAAAATATTACTACTTTTTTGGGAAATAAGGACCCCAAACTTTTCAGATGTATAATTAAATCGTTTATTCTGTGAATTCTTTCCATTTCCATGAAAGAGGTTTCCCATACTCATTCTGATTAGTTACAAATTAATTTTGAAGTAGAAGTGGATGAAATAAATGAACAAGGAACAAACAGGACCATCATTCAGGGTTGACAAAATCTTCAAAGTAGAAAAGGCCAAAATATAAAAAATAGAGAGTGCTTAAAAAAAATGAGACTATAATTGCAAGTAGCCAAGGACATCAATATAGGTTATAAAAATGACTGAAAAAAATAATGCAGCTAAAAGAGAAATATATCTTCATTCTACGGCTCTTGATTCCCACCTACCACACAGCTTCCGTTCATTTTGTTTGTGGGACATGCCTATTGATCATAACATGTAAGATTTTTCACACAATTGGTTCTTTGAGGAAAGAATCAGTCCTTGTCACCCTACATAGTAGGATTAGGCCTATAGGAATAGGATTGCCAATGTTAGTTGTCTGCAATAACGCAGTGAGGACAATTTCCATATTAAAACTCCCTCTTGTAAATGCATTGACCCTCATGAAACAAAATCTAATCCACTATATGTTGAACCAACTCTTTGTCAATTTCCTCATAACAAGCTTTCTATCATGCACTTTCGAAGGGAATTGATATTTTCATGATAGTAGTATATTTATTTATTTTTTGTCTAAATCATAGATATTCCTTATAAGGGGCATATTTATTCGTGGCAAAAATATCTACAACCTGGTAGGACTAATTCTCCTAGTGAAATTTTTTTTCTTTATGTAAGGTTAGAAAATGAGACCTTATTTAAAGAAATTAAGCATGTAGCACTTAAAATGAGTATCCCTTGATTCTGAAACCTCTCACATGGAAGGGAGTTAAAGAAATAGCAGAGAAAGGTTTGAATGAAATGAATACGCGGTTAATACAGAATCTTAGCTGAATGTGAAACAAAAATAGATGGGAAGTGACACATGCAAAGAGAGCACAGAAAGTGGGGAGGATCCTTTTTCATTGGTCAATTTCTTTTGCTGTCTTTCAGGAAAGACAAATCCTAAGATGCCTATTTACCTTCTCAACGTGCCCTTGTGGAAACTTCCACTTCCTTCTATAATGGAAATTTTTTCTGCACTTTCATTTTCATGTTTGACAGAGAGAGGGCTTGGAGAGATAGGAGTGTCAATAAAAGAGAAAACAACACATGAAACAAACAAGTACTCTAGTCATTCTGCAAAGTACCATAGAACTTTGGGCCACTGCAATCTATGGAGAAGTTTGCCAGTGATAAATAATGTTGAAGCAAATAGGTAAAATTATCATAAACCCTCTTCTGAATGAAAGGGTGTGGCTGTAATTTGACACCCTACACAAGGCTTGAAAAAAATTTAACTCTCCACATCCTTAGCGTCAATGTTAGAGTACTTTCCGGCAATGAAAACCACCTTAAGTACCCCATTCCACAAATCATTAAAGTAAGACGATGATTGATTATGAGTGTCTATCTTCAACTATAAATGCTTCGTTGTGTTTAAAGTGCTACACCTTCTCTCTATCTTTTCTTTCTTTTCCTCTTCCTCTATCACTTAACACTTTCACCTACCAATGTCAACACTGAACCATCTTTTTGATCTTCCAGAACAGATATGTTACGTACAATGTGGATTCTGTACCACCATTTTAATGGTACTTTAACTTCAACTGCACTTCTTTGAGTTCATGTGGTTTTACTCTAACTGCACTTCTTGAGTTCATGTGTATTTTAGTATTACTTTCCATATTTCATTGTTCTCTTTCCAACTCAATTGTGAGATGCAGGTAAGTGTCCCATGTAGCAGTTTGTCAATGGTGGTGACAGTGAGATGTGGGCACTGCACAAGTCTTCTTTCTGTTAATATGATGAAAGCTTCTTTTGTCCCTTTCCACCTTTTAGCATCTCTTAGTCATCTTGAGGTGATAGGTTACCTTTCCAATTCTATGTTTGTTTTCTTTGTGTTGTTCAAGTGCTAGTCCATTGAGCCACATAACTTATCTTTAATTGGATAGCTAGATGTTTATGTCATTTTATTGGATTTTTAACTTTAAAAGCATTTGTGACTGTCTCCACTCTCCAGCCAAAAGAATGCAGTCCAGAAGTAGATGCAAATAAGAGTTTGAACAGCCATAGTGCATTCATGACAACTTATTCTGATTGTGAAGAAGAGGATGTGATTCCAATGAGTAATGTCGTGAACAAACGTATGTAAGGCAATGACACTTAGGATCAAGTTTAAACATTCAAAAGTAATAGGATTTTATTGGAAAATAAAACATTTAATACATTTTAGATACAAAAATGTAACAAATGTTTTGTTTTGTAATAAATTTTACTATTATTAGATGCTTAAAAACAATCTTAAATGTTGGGGTCAACAAAATTGTTAATAATAAGAAGAGTTAGTGTGTTTAAAGCAAGTTTTGTAAACCGGCATTCTTCTTCCTCATTAAAATGATATTTTTGATGCATGGATTATCTGCAGCCCCAGAGAAGAGACAAAGAACACCATCAGCCTATAACCGCTTCATCAAGTAATGATTCAATAAACAAAGTAGTATAGAACTAAACTTCAAGCTCTGAATTCTAATGTGAATATTGGTTTAATGCAGAGAAGAGATTAAAAGGCTAAAAGCTGAACACCCTGACATGGCCCACAAAGAAGCTTTTAGCACAGCTGCAAAAAATGTAAGGTCTAGTTTTTCAAACTTCTTATTGTTTCAACTCATTTGCAAACTATTAAGTCTTATAAGATTGGTGAGCTACGGATATTAGGGAAAGAAGGGTACTGTTCTTAAGCATTATCTTGAAAATATTTGTCATTTTCAGTGGGCCAATTTCCCCCCAACTCAGTGCAAAGGAGATGAAGAGAGCTGTAGCCAGACAGATCAACTTGCAGATCTTGACTCCAATGTGGACCCTCATGATGCTGAGGTATTGTTTGAAACTTTGAACAGGTTCTTCATTTAAAACATATAGTACTCTTTATAATTGAAGCAAATTACCTTAGCAGATATTAGTAGGAGATTCTTTGGTTTGACACTGTGTGAATCTATCTATACAGTGTTGTTGTCCTTATATCACTGGAATAATAGAAGTAGGCTCCATTCATTCAATAACAAAGACTTATGTTCATGGTAGTTGTCGATCAATGTGACATTGAGCCATTTATTAGAAGTTATTGTAGATTAATAATAAATTATAATCAGTTATGATACTGATTAATATGGTGTTCTCAAAACATTATTCTCAAAACTTTTAACACAGAATGCTCATAAAAAGTTTACTACGTGTTAGAAGCTATGAGATGAAGAAATTCGACAAGGAGGACCTAAAGTAACAATAACACTAAAGTAAATAAGACAATATGGTAATACTAACATAAAATTATACTCGTTATTCTAGTAATGACTTTAGCTAGTCACTTTCCTGACATGTCCTTCATGTGTGCTATCTTGTCTAGGCTAATGTAGATGTACTTCACATACAACTTTAAGCCTATTCTTTGTGATATAGTACTTCACAATTGTAATGACTGCGTCACTTCATGTGTGAAACTTTCAGGTCAATGAAGAAGAAGGTCAAGGTTTCCGTGGAAGAAAAGTCCCAAGAAATTCCATCTTGGAAAGGACACCATTTGAGTGAAGAAAGCTTGGCTTATATGGCATAAAAAGAAAGCTATTTTGTATCTTAACATTAGGATTGCCTTTAAATCGTTTTCCTTATGAAGAAAGATGCTCTTGGTAATGAAAACGAATTAATAGGGTCGAGAACTGACAATTTGAGACTTTAGGAAGTGCTTAATAATTGATAGTTTTATCTGACACCTTTCTTTTCCAGCATACCACCTCAATTAATTAGTCTTCCGGACCACAGAATTATTGTGTTTTTTTTTTCTTGGGTTTGTTTAAATAAATCTTTATTTGTTCAAGAGTTGCTTGAAGTTAATTCTCAGCGCGGTGCATTTTATCAAGGGCTAGCTAAACGGTACATGCTGGTGATAAATATAGCCATGACATATAATTTTAAAATGATAATATTTGAGTACAGTATCGCAAGTTTTTTTGAAATTATTCTCTAACTAAAGTTAAAATATTAATTTGATAATATATATTGACTTTAAATATCAACCTTTATTGTGTATTTTACTAAAATAAAACTCTAATTTCAATTAGAAAAGTAATGCCAAAATACAGTAATTAAATTTTTTCACCTCAAGACATCTCTACCCAGTTACCATAAAAATTCGTGCTTGCTAATTTTGTTTTATTATTCTAGAATCGATCTTCATATGTTATAATTTTCTCGGATTCAGGTTCAATTTTAGATGATTTTGATCTACAATTACCAATCACTTAATAAATAAACGCGCACATACATCCCCGGTACTAAAAAACTATGTCAATCCTTGACACCATCACTCTGGTTAAGAATAAATATCTAAGCCAGTAATAATCCCTGATCTGTCTGTAACTAAATAACGGTGCTCGTGCTGCCAAGAGCCATGTTGATAGTCCTAATATTAGGGGCGAAATTTTCATTAACTTTTCATATAAAAACATTCCCAAGTTAATACTATACGCATTATGTAAAGGTTAATCTGCAACATGCAAAGTAAGGTAGCAATATTCCTAAATACAAATTTAGAACATGAATTGGTATCAATTTCGACATTTATATAATCAGATGTTTATAACTACCAGTCACAATCTTGAGTCATCTAAAGTTTGGTCTGTGATATCATTGTAGGATGCATAAATACCAAAAGACAGCTTTGCACCTTACTGACTAAAAAAGAAAAAGTAACTACATAAGCTGTGCCATTTCAGCAGCTCTCAAGAAAGGATAACACCCATAATTGACCTGATCCACCACACGAACATGACCATTTTGTTGCAAAAAAAGAAAGGAGGGCGAAAAAAATGACACGTGGCCAAAGCGCATGCAATGTAGCTGAAACATCTTGGTCATCTGTAAGTCGTCTTCTAACTGAGATCAGACTTGTCCAAAGCTGCAACCAAATGTATGATCAGTTCAAACCAACTTATATTAGAAAATTAACATACACAAAGAATAGAGGAGGGAACAGAAATTACTGTTGTAATTCAGTAACAGAAAAGGTCAACATGGGTCATAAGCATGCGCCTACAACAAAATCGAACCAGCATCAAAGCATCCAGTGCATCCCTGCAATCCACCGTTATGTTAATACTACAATATTAAAACTAATTTTTTTCATGAGGAAGACACTACATGTCATTGAGAAATCAAGTATACACTCAATGGCATCGAATATCCCTTAAGGGATGCAGTTAGGGAAGTGCAATATTATACAATACAATACTTTTTGATAAGTTATGACAAATGTGATTAAATTCTTAATTTATGATCACTTTTTTATCTTACAAATTATGCAACAAGCAGGGTCTACATCTCTGCTTAAAATTCTTATCAGCTCACTGACAAGTCCAACAAGTTGATTTGCAGCTAAATCAGACGCATGAAGGCATGTTACGCTGAAGATAAGATTGAAAAGGTAATGAATATGAACTCGAGCACCCAAATAATACATACAGTAGTTGAAGTTGACTTATGAAACGAACACGGAGACTGTGTAACAACTTCAAAATACAACGAAATTATGACACCCAATTTACTTCTTGAATAGATCAGACAACACAAAAATGTTTATCCTCCAAGCCTGAAACATGTAAAAAAACTACAATTTACAGGGCACCGCGCTTGTCCGCAATATTCAATATACAAGATGGTGACAGACCCACACATTAATTTGGAGTTACTAACAAGTTGAACATAAACTTAACAAGCACAACGTTTTGGCACGCCTCACTCACAAATTTCCAAAAGCAGCATAATCCTTATGAATAAAAAGCTAATCAGACAGATAAACAAGTGAAAACCCGTTCAATTGTTCAGTCTCCGCAACCCAATATTGGGATAGAAAAACAGTAAAAAAAAATTAAAACTTTTAATTAATCCTAAAAAAAACAGAGGTTGGAAAAAGAGAAGAGTTGGGGGCACCGACCCTTCACTGCAATCTGCCTGCAGAAGGTCGAGATAGACATCCCATTTGTTTCCAATGACCTAAATGCAGAAAAAGAAACAAAGTGATCATCAATTCAAAATAAATAAATAAAATTTTCCATGTCTCTTTATAAATTAAAAGTCACGTCTTTTGCAAGTATAATCATCATAACAATTAGCATTGCTAATTTTATATCAATGAATACCGAAATTAATAATTTATTTAAAAAATCACTAAATTAAAAAAAATATAATACACTATCAAATTTATAAATAAAACTAAGAACACATACAATAATTTAGATTAAAAAAGTACAATTTATATTATTTTTACTAATTTTTAACTAATAATAAGAATGCTAAAAAAATATGATAGAAAATCCTCAACCTTAAACCCTAATTAAAAAGGTTACATTTTATATTTTAAATATATCGGTTGCAGCAAAAAGAGAAAGAAATAGATTGTCGGTCTGAGTGGGTACCTTTCCACAAGTGAAGCATCGAACGGGGATGATCATTGTTGGTCTGGCGTGCTCTCCCCCCTCAGTCACAAATCAAACCTAATATAAGCAAGGATTTTTTTTAAAAGGTGAGATATTCAGTAACTTTACAATTGAGAGAGTTTAGGAAATAATGAAAGGTTAATTTTATATTAATTGACAATAAAATTAGTGATTTAATTTAAAACATATTCATATTTTTTAATTTTTAAAATATTAAAAAAATTACAACCATTAATCTAAAAAAAATATTTCTATATTTTATAGTTACTGTGACAAGAACTTTTGTTAACTTAAACGTTATATTTAACATATTTTATTTAAAAATATATTTACTATATTAAAATTATGGCATTAAAAAATATTTATAAAAAATTTTTACTTAATTTTTATCATCAATTTGTTATAATACTGTCAATAAATTATCATTAGCAAAAATAGATATAGTAAATTTTTTATTATAAAATTTTTTTATTAATAGTTAATTTTAAATTTTATATAAAAATTAAATAAATTCATTATAAAAATAATTAAATTAGATATATTTTTAATCCTAAACATATGCCTATAAATCTCTAAGATTGTGCCTGTAATATCTCTCTAGACAACTTGATTAAAGATATAGCAAATCACCATAATATGGCTAATAATAATTATGCGTACAACATACATTTTATTTCCTATTATCCCCCTCAAGGTGGTGCATGGGGAGACCAAATGCCCAGCTTGCCAAGTAAATCATGAAACTGAGTGCATCCCAAAGTTTTTGTAAATGTATATGCAAGTTGTGTGTGAGTGGGAACATAAGATGGTTGAAGATTTTGACGAACAATCTCATCACGGATGAAGTGACAATCTACATCAATATGTTTGGTACGTTCATGAAAAATGGGATTCTTTGCAATGTGTAACACAACTTGATTGTCACAATAGAGTTGTATGGGAATGGAATGGGTGACTCCAAGACTTGAAAGAACACCTTTGATCCACTTCAGTTCACATGTGGTATTAGCCATGGAACGATACTCAGCTTCAACAGACGAAGGAGCCACTGTATATTATTTTTTGGTTTTCCAAGAAATGGGAGAATGTCCCAAAAATACAATCCATCCAGTGAGAGACTTACGAGTGAGTGGGCACGCGGCCCCAGTCAGAGTCACACCAACCATAAAGTCGAAGATCACAACGACTATCCAAGAGAACTCCTTGACCAAGATTACTTTTGAGATATCTAACCACTCGCAAGGCAGCTTCCCAGTGTTCTATTCGCGGTTGTTGCATGAACTGGAAAAGAACATAAACGCAATACGATAATTTAGGTCTAGTGAAACATAAGTAGATGAGGCATCCTACCAACCTGCGATAGCAATCGGGATTAGTAATAAGCTCGCCATTGGCAAGACCAAGATGATGATTTTGTTCGAGTGGGGTACTGGCTAGTTTCGGCCCAAGTAAGCCAGCCTCACTAATAATATCTAGAGCATATTTTCTCTGACATAGAAAAATACCTGCAGGTGATTTAGCAACTTCCACTCCTAAGAAATATTTTAACTTACCCAAATCTTTCATATGAAAGCATCTGCTCAAGTAATCTTTGAAACACTGTATGGAGTCATGATCATTTCCACATATAATCAAATCATCAACATACACTAGAACCACCAGTTGTATGTCTTTATCATGAAGTGTGAACAAAGAATAATCTGAGTAAGACTGCTGGAAACCGTATGCTTTGAGAGCCCAAGATAGTTTAGAAAACCAGCAAAGTGGGGCTTGCTTTAACCCATACAATAATTTGTGAAGTTTACAAACCATCCCTGAATGAGATGAGCGAAAGCCTGGTGGAAATTTCATGTAGATCTCTTCTTGCAAATCACCATGTAGGAACGCATTGTGTACATCCATTTGGTGAAGTTTCCAGCTCTTTGCAGCAGCGACCGCAAGAACAATTTGCATGGTGACCATTTTTGCCACTAGAGCAAAAGTTTTGTTGTAATTGATGCCTTCAATTTGATGATTTCCAAGAATAACCAACCAAACTTTAAACCTTTCTATGTTTCCATTGGAATGATACTTGATTTTATAGACCCACTTGCATCCTAGTGCCCTTTTTTGTGTTGGTAGGGGCACATCGTCCATGTATTATTATCTTCAAGTGCTTGTATTTCTTATTGCATTGCTGACCGCCATCTGTTATCTTTTACTGCTTCTCCAAATGTCATTGGCTTTTTCTCCATTGTCACGGATTCAAGAAACCTACAATGCTTCAATGAAAATTTTTTACAGTTAGCATAATGAGCGATAGGATATAGCACCTTTGATTGTTGCTGTGGAGTGGGTGAACAATTAGATGGACTCCTTGATGCTCTCACTGTATTGGTCACGTAATCTCAAAGCTTTACAGAGGGAACTCTAATACGCTTGCCTCGCCCAAATTGCTCCTCATTTTCTGGTTGTGCATTAATTGCACCATAAATTACAGCATGTTGTGTATCCTCAAGACTGGTACTCCCTTATTGCAATGCGTGTTTTACTGCCTGCCACCTTAGTGGTCGCGAGCTGCTTATTGTCAGCACTTTCAGTGTCAAAATTGGCCTCTCAATTCTGCATGTCGGTTATTGGTTTACTGCTGGACCTGTCAATGTTCTCTCCAAAAGGAAATTCTGCCTAAAAAAAATCAACATCTCTTGATACAAAATAAGTGTTGGTGTCCAAGTCAAACAATTTTTATCCTTTCTTTTTGTGTGGGTAGCCCACAAAAACGCACTTCTTGCTTCCAGTGGCAAATTTATCTCCCTTCCTTCCTTGGTTATGAGTGTAGCATAGAGATCCAAATACTCTAAGATGATCATAGGAAGGTGGTTTCCCATTCAGCACCTCATAAGGGGTTTTTCCATTCAGCAAAGGTGTCGGTGTCCTATTTATCAAATATCCTGCAATCAGAATACATTCACCCCAAAAAGAAATAGGAAGATTACCTTGAAACCTCAACGCTTAAGCGACATTGAGTATGTGTTTATGTTTTCTTTCAACTCGTCCATTTTGTTGAGGCGTTCCAGTGCATGATGTTTGAAACACGATTCCACGTTCAAGAAATTGTGTTCTCAAACATGTAAATTCTATTCCATTATCGCTTCAAATCATCTTAACCTGCTTTTCAAATTGTCTCTCTATTAAAGCAATGAAGTTCATTAAGGCATGAGGAGCTTCCTTTTTATCTAACAACAAAAAAATCCAAATTGCTCGAGAACAATCATCCACTATAGTTAAAAAATAATAAGCACCAAATGAAGAAAGTTTTATAAGGTCCCCATAAGTCACAATGAACCAGTTCAAACGCACTCGCGGCTTTATGATTGCTTAAAGAAAAACTATCTCTAGTTTGCTTAGCCCTTTGGCACACATCGAATGCCTTATTTCCATGGTTATTATTCTTGCTACTTGTATTTGAGACTAATTCAGTAATCTTCAAAGAGGGATGCCCCATTCGCCTATGCTAGAGATCAAGTGATATCACAGGATCAACTTTAAAGGCTTTCTCATGACGAATTCCTTTGAAATAGTAGAGCTCATCTATTCGTTTACCCAATCCAATCAGCATCCTCGAAGTGCAGTCCTGCATTACACACAAAGAATTAGTGAACTGCACTATACAGTTTGTCTCATCTATCAACTGGGTCACAGATATCAAGCTACAGTTTAATTTAGGCACATATAACACGTTGTTCATTTTCAGCCCTCCTTCAAGTGTTGTTGTTCCCTTTTTAGTCACAACAACTTTTTGTCCATCTGAAAGTCCCACGGACATCCTTGTACATTTTTCAATTCTTGAAGTGATTTCAAATTTCCTGTCATGTGGTTGGAAGCCCCTGTATCAATGATCCAAGTTTCTTTACATGTCATTCTTTCATTGACATTTCCCTTCTAATTATTCAAGATCTCTACCAATGTTTGTCATTGTTCTGTGCTCAACCCCATCAAGCCTCCATTGTCTACCTCTGTCGCTGGCTCAGGTGCTCTTTTAACAACTACTTGAGCAGTATTTGCTCGCACACCTCTGCCGCGTCCAGAGTTTATACCACATCCTTGTTGTTGCCCTTTCATGCAAGCAACTCCTTTTCCTTCATGACATGGCCTATCACTCAACCAATCTGGATATCCAACAAGTTGGAAACAACTCATGGTATCATGGCCCGTTCGATTGTAGTTTGAACAGACTATTCCTTTGTCTTTTGTGTCTCCACGTCCTCTCGTCCCTCCACCGGTTTGTACAACCAGACCAATAATCTCTTTCTTTTCTTCCTTGGTTCTAACAATGGCCTTCACGCGTTCTTCTTGTATCAAGATGGAATACACTCTATTCAATGTTGGTAATGGATCGGTTGCAAGAAGATTTGAGCGAACCATTCCATACAACACGTCGTCTAATCCCATCAAAAATTGATGTACCTTCTTTTCTTCCCTTCATCTCTCTAATTTTGCCTTGATGTCACATTTGCACCCTTCACATGTGCATGTTGGTATCTGCTGGTAATTTTTCAGCTTATCTCATAACCTCTTGAGCTTTCCATAGTAGTTCACCATGGTCATCCCTTGTTGTTTGCATTCAGCCAGTTCTAATTTTAGTTGTTGAATCCTTGGTCCATTCACAACTGAAAAACGTTCTTTAATGTCATCCCACAGTTCCTTTGCGTTCTCCCTATAGGAAATAGTAGAACGCAGAGAAGTTTCGATGGTGTTTAGGATTCAAGACACTACCATAGATTGCACGGTCCACCAATCCTCAATTTCTGGTGAGTCTTCATCCGGCTGCTTCACAGTGCCATCCACAAACCCCCATTTACGTCGTGCACGTAACGAGGTTCTCACAGCTTTTGCCCATTCTTCATAATTTTCACCCCGCAGTTGAACTTGGGTGATTATGCTACTTGGATTGTCGTTTGAATTCAGGTCATATAGAGATGACTTCTTCTTCACCACCCCAGGTATTTCTACAAATTTCTCTTTCTCAGAACCTAGCTCTGATGCCATAATAAATTATGGAAGAATTTTTGTGTGTTATTCACATACAAGGATCATTCATATATACACGATACCCTGCTCTATTTTGGTATCAGGTTTCCTAAACATATGCCTATAAATCCCTAAGATTGTGCCTGTAATATCTCTCTGGACAACTTGATTAAAGATACAGCAAATCACCCTTAATATGACTAATAATAATTATGCGTACAACAAATATTTTATTTCCTATTATGTTCATTATGTATTATGTGAGAATCATGGAATTTCAAGATCCTAAAATGGTTTTCTGCAAATGTTAATTTTAGAAAACTTGTATCATGAAAATCTTTCATATGATATTAGAGCATTTTGGTTGTGAAATTGTGATTCTCCATAAATATCTTTTCCCAATTAATATGAACCCTAATTTTAAAAATTGAGAATTCAAGTTTCCAATTCACGTATGAACCTATGATTGTATATTTGAAATCGACATTGTCCTCCAAGTACGACTGCGTGAAATTTTACAACAAATAACTCATTAAATGTTATTATTTGCATTATTATGTATTCAATTATCGTATATCGATGACCCTAAATTGCCGAGCGTAACATGTATTCTATTGGTATTAAAATAATAGAATTTACTTTAGGAAATATTAATTGGCATGTGCAGTATGATTTCACAATTTTATGATTGATTGACTACCGATTGCAAATTGTCGTACAAATCATAATTGGTTAATTGTCAATTATCTGTAATGTGCAATATTAATATTATCATTATTTTATTGTTATGTTTTAAAAGAAGCTGTAAGATGCTATTTTACCTGCACAGTATTTGATAGAATGACATAGGTACTGGAATTTGCTTATGAAATTAATTGATTGCCAATAGCAGTATAATTTCATTATTGATTAATTGCTAATTGCTAGTTGCCAATTGTTGTACAATTTAAAAGTTCATTAGATGATCATTGTGGTTAAAAATCAATTTGTTTTGGAATTATAGTAGGTGATGAATTTTGTTAATCACCAAAGTGGTCAAAATTTATAAATTTTATTTAATTCCAAAATTGATGATAATTTATTTCAAATACCTATAGGATAATGGATGCTAAATATTTTATTATTGGTTTATAGGTATGTATTGAAATTCATTGTTATGAGACATTTCTGAATCACCCAAAGGTTGATTAATTGTTCTTATAATTAATGAGAATAATTGTAGGTAATTTGTATATGCCATTAATTTATTTATATACCCAAAGGTATTAGATCTTTTAATTGGTACATGTTTTATTGGTGACTGATTGTGTATTGTTACCATCATTAAATGTTATGTATTCTGATATATCACCCAAAGGAGAACATTAATATACATTAAATGGTAGAATGTTTTGTATGTGTAGTGTGTGTATTTATGTCTCAAAACAGTTATGTATGTTTTAATTATGCAGTAAATGTTCTCAATATTTCGCACTCTAGCATTTCTTCTGTACCAATTTTTAATGGGCTTAACTTCTCTAACTAGAGTGAACAAGTTCAATTTCATATTGGTGTTTTGGACCTTGATCTTGCTCTTCAGGAAGAGAAACCTACTGCTATTATCGATACTAGAAGCAATGAAGAAAAGACCCATTATAAAGCTTGGAAAAGATCAAACAGACTTAGCCTGATGTTCATGCGAATGAGTGTAGCAGAAAATATAAGGACTGCTCTTTCTAAAACTGAAAGTGAAAAACAATTTATGAAAAATATGGAAGAGCGTTCCCAAACTGCTGACAAGTCTCTTGCAGGGACATTAATGAGTACACTAACCAATATGAGTTTTGATGGTTCACATACTATACATGAGCATGTCGTTGAAATGACGAATATTGCTACAAGACTTAAGACCTTAGGCATAACTGTGGATGAAAGCTTCCTTGCTCAGTTTATTCTTAACTCATTACCGATTGAGTATGGGTCATTCTAAGTAAGCTATAATGCCATGAAAGATAAATGGAATGTGCATGAATTGTACAATATGTTAGTTCAGGAGGAAACACGGCTTAAGAATCAAGGAAGTCATTCAATCCATTATGTAAGCCATAAAGGGCATCAAGGAGCTGGAAAGAAAGTTGTAAAGAAGCATGATAAGGGCGAAGGGCCATTGAAGATTAATGAGGCCTCTGCACAAATCTAGAAGAATAATGATAGAGATAAATGTCATTTCTGTGGAAAATCTGGTCATTTTCAGAAGAATTGTCTGAAACGGAAAGCTTAGTTTGAGAAAAAGGGTAAGCTCAATGCTTATGTATGTTACGAATCAAACTTAATTGAAGTTTCACATAATACCTGGTGGATTGATTCTGGATGTACAACTCATGTTTCTAACACAATGCAGGGATTCCATTTGATCCAAGCCATAAACCCAAATGAAAGGTTCATGTTTATAGGGAATAGAGTGAAAGGTCCAGTGGAGGCTGTCGAGACTTATCACTTGATTCTTGACACTGGACATCATTTAGATTTAGTAGAGACTCTTTATGTACCTAGTATATCTAAGAATTTAGTTTCATTATCTAAACTTGATGTTACTGGATACTCTTTTAATTTTGAGAATGGATATTTTAGTTTATTTAAATATAGTTATCTCATTGGTACTAGTACTCTTTGTGATGGTTTATATAAATTAAATTTAGATGGTTTGTATGTTGAAACTCTCTTAACTCTACATCATAGTATTGGCACTAAACGTAGTTTAGTGAATGAACGTTCTGCTTACTTGTGGCATAGACATTTAGGTCATATCTCCAGGGAAAGAATGGAAAGACTAGTAAAAGGTGGAGTCTTTCTAGACTTAGATTTTACTGACCTAAATGTCTGTGTGGATTGTATAAAAGGAAAGCAAACAAAACACACAAGGAAAGGAGCCACAAGAAGTACCCAGCTTCTTGAAATTGTATACACTGATATTTGTGGACCTTTTGATGTTAATTCCTTCAAGAAAGAGAGGTACTTTATCACCTTTATTGATGACTATTCCTGTTATAGTTATGTCTATTTGCTGTATGAGAAATCTCAAGTAGTAGATGCCTTGGAAATCTACTTGAATGAAATGGAAAGGCAATTAGACAGAAGGGTGAAAGTTGTTAGATCTAATAGAGGTGGTGAGTATTACAGAAAGTATGATGAAACTGGGCAGCACCCAGGTCCATTTGCTAAACTCCTTGAGAAACATGGTATTTATGCTCAATACACAATGCCAGGTACACCACATCAAAATGGTGTATCAGAAAGGCGTAATAGAATATTAATGGATATGGTTAGAAGCATGTTAATTAATTCTTCTTTACCCTCATCTTTGTAGATGTATGCCTTGAAAACTGCCATGTATTTGTTGAACAGGGTTCCTAGTAAGGCAGTTCCAAAGACATCTTTTGAACTTTGGACTGGTAGGATTCCTAGTTTGAGACACCTGCATGTTTGGGGTTGTCAGGCAGAAATAAAGGTTTATAATCCACAAGAAAAGAAATTGGATGCAAGAACAATCAATGGATATTTCATTGGTTATCCAGAAAAGTCCAAGGGGTTTAGATTTTACTGCCCTAATCATAGTACAAGAATTATTGGAACTGGAAATGCCAAGTTTATTGAGAATGGTGAAATCAGTGGGAGTACGAATCCACAAAATGTGAAAATTAAATAAGTTAGAATACAGGTTCTTATAACTTGTGCTTCGCTTCTAGCAGTAGAGTTGTTGTTCCTCTTATTACTACACCACAACATAATGAAGAAGAGCAAAAAAACACTGAACCAGTGATTCACAATGAACTTATTGTAGAAGAACTACAAGAAATAGCATTAAGGATGTCTCAAAAAAAAAAAGACCTGCTATTCCAAATGATTATGTGGTATATCTACAAGAGTCAGAAGCTGACTTAAGCATTAATGATAATGATCCAGTTTCATTTTCCCAAGCCATAAGTTGTAATAATTCTAATAAATGGTTAGATGCCATGAAAGAAGAGTTAGAATCAACAGAACAGAATGGTGTTTGGGACCTTGTAGAATTGCCAGAAAGTTGTAAGAGAATTGGTTGTAAGTGGATCTTCAAGACCAAACGTGATTCTCATGGAAATCTTGAACTTTACAAGGCCAAACTTGTTGCTAAATGTTTTACTCAAAAAGGCGGCATTGACTATAAAGAGTCATTTTCACCTGTCTCACAAAAGGATTCCTTTAGGATTATCATGACACGGGTAGCCTATTATGACTTGGAATTACACCAGATGGATGTGAAAACTGTCTTTTTCAATGAAGATTTAGAAGAAAATGTTTATATAGATTAACCAATGAGATTCTCAGTTGAAGAAAAGGAACACATGGTGTGCAAATTAAAGAAATCAATATACAGACTCAAGCAAGCTTCTCGTCAATGGTATATAAAGTTCAATGATACCGTTGTATCCTTTAGATTTAAGAAAAATACTGTTGATCGGTGTATATATCTAAAGATCAGTGGGAGTAAGTTCATATTTCGAGTCCTGTATGTTGATGATATCTTGCTTACAGCTAATGATCTTGGTCTTTTACATAAGACTAAGAAGTTTCTTTCTAGTAACTTTGAAATAAAAGATATGGGTGAGGCAAGCTATGTGATAGGGATAGAAATATTTCGGAATAGATCACAAGGACTATTAGGTTTGTCTCAGAAAGCATATATCAACAAAGTACTAGAGAGATTCAGAATGAAAAAGTGTTCAGCATCACCCGTTCCAATTCAGAAAGGAGACAAGTTCAGTCTTGCACAATGTCCCAAGAATGATTTGGAACGGAAACAGATGGAAACAATTCCGTATGCATCTGTTGTTGGGAGTATTATGTATGCTCAGACCTGTACCAGGCCAGATATAAGCTTTGCAGTTGGGATGTTGGGTAGATACCAGAGTAATCCTGGATTGGATCACTGGAAAGCTGCGAAGAAGGTCTAGAGATACCTACAGGGAATGAAAGAACACATGCTTACATATAGAAGATCTGATCACCTTGAGGTGATTGGGTATTCAGATTTGGATTTTGCTGGATGTGTGGATACAAGAAAGTCCACTCTTGGCTATGTGTTTCTCTTAGCTGGAGGAGCGGTATCATGGAAGAGTGCAAAGCAATCAGTTGTTGCTGCGTTTACCATGGAAGCTGAGTTTGTAGCATGTTTTGAGGCTACAGTTCAGGCTAACTAGCTGCGGAATTTTATTTCAGGACTTAGAATAGTCGACAGTATTGCTAGGCCGTTGAAAATTTATTGTGATAATTCTGCAATAGTATTTTTTTTTTCTAAGAATGACAAGTATTCTAAGGGTGCTAGGCATATTGAGATTAAGTACTTTTCTGTGAAAGATGAAGTACAAAAACATAGATTGTCAATAGAACATATTAGCACAAACCTTATGATAGCTGACCCTTTGACAAAAGGGTTACTGCCCAAGACATTTATTGAGCATGTTGAAAATATAGGCATTATTGTTTATGATTATTGTTAGATGTAATGATTACATTTTATGTATTATGCACTTGATACTCTGAGCTCATTTATGGATATGTTTTTTATTACTTGTTTTCTTATATGCATGCATAATTGTATTATAATGATGTAAATAGGTATCGTGTTGAATAAAGACATTATGTTTGACCAATTTTGTACTTCTCACTTATTGGTCATGTTAAGGAGAAGACTGATTTGTAGTACATGAAGGAACTATATCGATTAAGTGATGTACGACCGCCATAACTCAAATTAGTTCTTATTCCTAATTCTCAATGTATGCAATGATTTAGTTATGACAATGCGCATTATGATGATTTAATCTTTTATTTATTAGACCATGATATTGGATAATGTCACATAAGTCAAGTGAGAGAATGTAAAACTTTAAATATCTCATGTGAGGAGCATGTGACTTGTCTAGGGACTAATAAGTAATTAATTAAATTATTAAGGGCTAAATTATAATTGAGTAAATGAGAAGTTGTTTCATATATATTAAATAATTACTATTTGATGAAGATAGCGGTTTTAGAACGAATTAATTAAAAAACTGTGAAACGGGTCTTCTTCCTAACTGTGACGTATTTTCTCTTCCCTCACCATCAATAACGTAGAGAGAATAAGAGGGTAAGCCAAGGAGGTAGAAATCGATTTTATCTGAGGAAATTTAAAGGTATCAAGATTCATCTATTTCCTTAACAATGGACAGAGGTTAGTCAATTTGTTCATTATGTATTATGTGAGAATCATGAAATTTCAAGATCCTAAAATGATTTTATGCAAATGTTAATTTTAGAAAACTTGTATCATGAAAATCTTTCAAATATTTCTTGAAACTAAACAGGATTTTTTTATGTTTTCTATTTCTAAAGATATTTCAAGTTTTATACTTTCCTCTAATTAAGTTTTTCTGACTTTAGACCATATTCATGTTCTAATTAAACTAATTTAATTGAAGCTTTACTTGCTTGCTTTTAACAAGTTTTCAGACACCATTAATGAAACCATTGTGTTTTTCTTTGTGGAGGACAAAAACATGAAGAATTCCAGTGGTTAGGTTGCAATTGAATGGTGTTGGGCCACTTGCTTAACCTCATGACCATACTTTGGTTTGGTAAGTGACCTCTGTGCTGCAAGTGGTTACAAGTGTTCATGAATTTCTACTTTGTTCTATGCAAATTGAGGTATGGTGCATTCTTTTCAAATCATTGTGTCATATCATCAGCCTTTAAGATTGTGGTTCCTCGTTGTTTCCTCTTAAGGCACTCATGCTATCTCTTTAATTTATTTTCTCATCATCTACTTGTTATTATTCGTGGAAATAGATTAAATAATAATCAATACACATTGTATCAATTGGGCTTATAACTTTATTAAGAGTTAATTGCAGAAATATAAAAAATTTCGTCGAGATTAAGCTATACATGAATGGAAGTTTTGAATTAATA